GTTGATGTAATCGAGTTGCGAGGCTCGTTTTTTGCTCCACGAATCTCGAGCCTGAGCCAATTGTTCCAAGGCCAGATCGTGCCGTTTGCGTTCCGCGTCGCCGCCGCTCATGCGGCTAAAGATAAAGTTGCTTCCGCTAAAAGCTAGGGCGTTTACCATCGCACCGCCGACCATCATTGCCACGGTTGCCATTTTTTTACTATCGCGGTATTTATTTTAAAATCTTGTCGGGGATGTATCCGTTTGCCACCAGCATGTCCTTGGTCAGCGTCGAAGCCGCAATCAGACCCGCGAGCTTTGCCGTGTCGACGAGCGTCAGCTTGTCTACGAGCGGCGCTTTGCTTCCCGCCACCTTTTTCAGTATCATCACGTAACCGACCGTCAACGTGGACACGATCGCTCCGTCGTACAGGCTGTTTACAATTACCTTTGTATCGATGCCACTCATACCTTTTTAAGCAAGAGAGATTTTTAATTACATTTCAAACGGATCCGGCTTGGACGGCTTGGACGGTGGTGGCGGCTTGACCGACGTCGGTGCCGGCGGCGTCGACCTGGTCGACTTGACAGGCGGTGCCGTTGTCGGCTTGGTGGATGCGACGTAGACTAGATATCCCAACGCGACGAGCGACAGATACGGAATGCAACTCGAAAACAACGCCAAAGGTGACGTCCGCGATGCCTCCGAGGCTTGACGTCGTTTCTCGGCGATTGCCTTTCCGGCCGCAACTCGCTTGGGATTCTTGCTCGTGACTTGGGTAATTGTTTCGTCCATTTTGTAAATGTCTGCAATTTTTTTACTCGGTAATTACACGGGCGGGTCGGTAATCGCGGGCGACTCGGTCGGCGTCGATTTCTCGGACTCTGGCGGCGCGGTTGAAACCTCGTGAGACGTCACCTGCGGCGTCGATTGCTCGCCGTTCGGCGGTTCGTATTTCACGTGTCTCGCCGTGTGCATCGCGACCGAAATCGGTGCGAGCCACGCTCCAAATTTAAAATAGAGCTCGCACGCGACGGGATTCAACGCTTCCATCAGGAACCGATCGTTTTCGAGATCGTCGCCGAGTTGCTCGATCGAATCGATCGGGAGCACGTAACCGATAGTCTTGCTGTACATGCGAATCACGCTGCTGCCGAGCGATCTCGTCACGTCGCTGCCCCTTTTGGATTCGAGCATCGCGTACAACTTGGAAATTTCGGCCTCGGGCATGCGCTCGATTTGCTCCGCAGAGTATTCCCGATCAAAGTAGTATCGAGCGTTCCCTCCGCTCGCGACGGTCTTTATTCGGTCTTTGAGCTCGACTGAAACGTCTCGAGCTTGCTCGGGCGTAAGAGACGGCTCGGCCGGCTCGGTCGAATCGACCTTCTTTTTTGGTCTGCGCTTTTTCTTTGCGGGCGGGTCGGCGGCGGCGCCTGCGGCGGCGGTCCGTCGTTCGTTTTCCGCGAGCGCTTGCATCTCGTGCGTTATGTCGGTCATTTTTAATAAATGCAAAATATATTTTATCCGATGTGAATTCCCCAACGGGTCGGTCTGTCGCATTTCAACAGCAACTTGCTAAAACACGTCGTGTCGATCTTGTCTTTGATGCGTTTCTTGTCGTCTGCATCTTTTATCACGTCATTCTCTCGCAGGCAATCGTAAAAACTGTCTCTGTCTTTGCAGAAAAAGAGCGCGATCCATCGAACCTGCTCTCTGAAATCTTTGAGGATGGAATTGTACTTTTGGGTGAGAATCCAAACGGATTTCTTGTGGTGACGACCGGAAAAGGCTAGCGTCGACAGCGTCTGCTGCTTTCTCTTCATGTCCTTGTTGCTGCTGCAATCGTCGATCACGAACAGCGTCTCGGCGTCGTCGTCAAACTTGCCGCAGAGGTGCGTCAGGCAATCGTCCAGGGACTCGCCGGGGTCGATCAAAAAGACGTTTTCGTCTAGCTCTATCCACGCGCGTCTATAACTCGAGTTTACGCTAAACGTCGGACAGATAAATACAATGTTTTTAAAGTAATCCTTGTATTCCGTCTCGATCAGATTCAACGCGTAAACCGTCTTGCCGCAATTTGTCGCTCCGACGATCAGAGCGCAGTGAGCCTCTTTTGGAAACATGGTTTTTTTATAGTCGGTCTTAATAGTTTACTCCCACGAGCCTGTTTCCCTGTATGTTTAGCTGGGCGTCTGCGACGATAAAGACGTAGCAGTCTAGCGGGGCCGCCGTCTCCGCGTCTCGCGTCAGTTGCAGTTTCAATCCGCCGGAATCGGCATCGATCTTTCTACCCGTTCCGTGCAGGGTATTGTCCGTGACGGCTCTGAGATCGACCCAGAGGCCGTAGTGATCCGTCAGATATTTCCTCTGCGACATGTTGGTGAAATGCGTCGGCTTGCAGGCTTGGTTGCAAAAGTGCTTGCGAATCTCTTCGTAATTTCTGTAGGGCATCATTCCACGGGCGTAAATTTCGTTGGACGACCCGTCGATCGTGACGCTGCATTCTTTGATTTTCGGGTTGTAAAACTTTTCGGGGTCGTGCTCGAAATCGGTCTCTCGTTCCTTAAA